AGATGTCCGCCAGAAAAAATGCCAAAAAAAACTAAAATTATAAATAAAATAATGCTGCCCACTCACATGCTGCGGCTGGCCGTGCCTTCCACCTAGCAGAGAAGCCCATAAACTCATACGCCCGGATCCCGGCCCGCCTGCCCCAGTGCGATGATGAAAAGCCCCCTGGATTGAAACTACAGAAACCTCAATCTTAAAAACACTCAAACTTATTAACCTAACTTGCTTATGACAAAGAGCATACTTAGTCTTAACATTCACTTTATATCTTAATAGAATAAGTAAAAAATCACTAAAATTAATCATTGGAAAGGTAAAACTCATGTTCTAATTACATATATTTTTTAAAGCTTATATTCATGTTACGATAATCTTTAAATAAATTTAATTATCCTTCTACAAAAAAAGTAACAAAAAATATAAAAAAAAAATTAAATGATTTAAAGTACATACACTTATTAAATTTATTTATTTTATCATTAAAAATTAAAAAGACCTAATAGTCTAAACTAAATCTATAATATGCTGTATTATAAAAATATTAATTAATATACTAAATTATGAAAATAAATAATAAAATATATAAACTATATTTAATTATTATAAAAAATACATTTTAGATAAAATTATATTAAATTCAATACCATTAAAGTTTCAAATTATTAATTCTTTAACTTGAAAACTTCAAATAAAAGCTGTGATTTTTAGCATTTAAAAATAATTAAGCTTTTGTTATTAATAGTTAGGTAAGTTTCAATTCAACTTTATATTAATTAATTAATTAAAAATTAATAAAATCTCGAATCAGAAGAATCCGCGCGAAACATCTGTACTCTAAAAATTTTTGGTGTCAGGAAATCGGTATTCATCAACTGTTGGAGATTAGTGTCCGGAACGTCCTCCGAAAATATAGTGTACCTGGTTAGATGATCGATTTTCTATATACTTTGAAGCCTGACGCCTTCATTTTGCCTTATTAATACTACATACATTTAAATTTTAGCAATCAAAACACTTATCTACTCTTTCTATAACTACAAACATTCCGTATGTCGCCTAAGTTATCTGATTAAAAATTCCTCCAAACTTTACTTCTAGATACCATCTCTGTGAATGCCCCACAACCTGCCGTAAAGTGATATAATTTTAACCTACTTATTTCTATCACATTATTTATTTCTTAATCCAATATCTCTAAAATTCATTCAAGACCATCTAAATCTTCCAAAATATGAGTATATAAAAACCCATACCATCCACAATATGCATTATATAGAAGATTTTTGATATTTCCACCAAACTTCTACAATAACCAATAGTTATAAAATCAACTAATTTCAACCCAAAAGACAATAAATACTATTCAACACAATGTAACGTTTCCTAAAACTCTCCCCCCATCAAAAATGCAAATCATTATGTATATATAATAATATATATTATATATATAAATATATATATACTATATATAATATAATAGAATATAATCGACTTAATTATTTCGTTTATAAAATCGGAAAATACTAAGATTTTCCCCACAAAAAAAGAAAATAAATTTCTCGCAAGTTTTTTGTTTACCGCAGGTTTTAGGTTAAGACATAGCGATTAACAAGAGAAGAGAGGTCGAAGTTCCATAAAAAAGATTTTATGTGAGTAGAAGAGAAAGAGGAGGAGGATAATGGAAAGCAGGTAAAAGACAAAGAAGCCCAGACATTAGATTCCTTCCGAAGGGAATCCAGCTTCATTGACGCTTCTGAATTCCCATTATTTTCCATGTCTTCTTCTTCCTCCTATTCATGCCATTATTGTAAAGAGAATATTACAAGATAGCCAAAACAATTTATTGTATAGAGAAATATGAAAACATGTTGATTTTTCAATGCTAGCAAAGAGAAGTAGAGGCAGAATATATATCTTTAATGCTGAAAGAATCTTCTCTCCCTTTCTCTTCAATAAATTGTTTTGACAAGAAGATAAAAGAAGAATATAGAAGAAGAATATCGAAGATAGCCAAGAAGACAAAAGAAGAATATAGAAGAAGATTTTTTATTTTTTGAAAAATTTGAGTCAATTAAGGCAAACTCATACACACATCACATGCTTTATGCTTTGAACCCAAGATCTCTTGATTGGGAGCTTTTAAAACTCCCAACCAAGAGATCGAGATCAGTTGTGTAGAAGAAGAAATTTTACGAATGGTAATAATATCCGCATATGAAAGCTTGTCTCAGTCTTATCAGAGAATATTAATACGTCGATAAAACAAAGACAATGCAATAGAGAAACGCATATATCCAGATGGCGTAGCTTATAGATGATGCAACGATAGGAGGAAGCTCAAGGATGAGGTCACAAACTACGGTGTTGTAATAAGATTTTAGTTTTTATTAAGCACAAGTCTCCATGCAAGCTCATGGCTGGCCCATAATCTATCTAAATTATTGAAGAATAATTAAAAAGCTTAAAGTTCCTTAATGGCTAGGTGGTCAACAAAGCAAAAAAAAAAATATCTTCAAAATATTCTTTATTTTAGGACAACTTCTTGCCTTATTTGGTGAATTGGAATTTTAATATTTTCAATTCTTTTAATTAAAAAATAATTTGGTGAATTGGAATTTTATTTTATGACAACTTCTTGCCTTATTTTATGACAACTTCAAAAATTTCAACTTAAAAAAAATAAAAATAAAAAGATGTGTAATTGGATGTAGGATAATTGCATAAAGATTTGCAAACTTAGTTATTCTTTTGTATTTATCAGCGATATAATTTCTTTTCTTAGTTTGCTATTTCAATTATAGAAAAGATTTATGTCAACAACCCAAAAATAAATCGCTCATAATTTTTTATCATTGAAGATTCCAAAGCATTGAAATATTATGATTCAAACTTTTTAATGTCAAATTTGAAATTTTTAATTTTTAAATATTAAAAAAAATTCTTTTGGAAATCACAAGAGATTCATAGATGAAACAATTTTCTGCATTGTGCCCTATTAATGTCAAATTCTCATTCAAATCTATAAAAAAAATCATTCTAATACTTTTTATTAAATTATTTTTAGATATGTCATATATCTTCTTAATATAAGGCTAAATCTTCATTTGGAATAAATTTTCTTATTGAGTTTTAGTATAAAATTCTTTTTAAAATAGCTAAAAAATAGTAGCCAAAAGCTATCCCATACAAGGTTTCATTTGTTACAACTTTCTTACTGCTTTCTAAATCAGCTTTTAATATAATTTTTAATTATAAATTTTATTAAAAAAAAATGAATTTACAATAATTTAATAAAAAAATTACCCCATCAAAAACCTTACTCTCCGAAGACTTCATTTAGGTTTAGTTTTTTTTTAATGTTTTTATTTGAAGCTTTCTGAAGTAGTTTTTAGTTCAAAAAATTTTTAAATAAAAAAATTTAATATAAAAAACTATTTTAAAAAATAATAAAGAAGCTGTCCAAATGAAAGATCTTGGAAAGAGGAAAAAAGAAAAAAAAAATCATTAAAGCTTTACAAGGTCAACCCAAGCTGAAAGGTCCAACAAAATTCTCCACTGAGGACTTTGTCCTGAAAATCCATTTCATAATGTAATATATCAGATTGTCTCTTTATATTAGTTATATAATAATAAAAGATAATGGCGTTTGAATGCTTTGATTTCCAAACAAGAAACCTAACCCAATGGGAACAGAGAAGAATCGCTGATTTGGTCTTTAGAAGAGAAATAATAAAAGAAAAGTTCAAAAGAGATTCTCAGGCAACTACCCAAACAAGATAAGAGATTTTGATAATCTATTTCTCCTTCAGCTGATGGCTTTCACATGCATGGCGTCATTCTCATGAACTTTTATTCGGTCCAGTGAACATATGCTCCTCTACGTTCGGCCACCAATGTTTTAGCGCCACGTAGCATGAAAAAAAGTCGCCGACCCGACCCGCTATTTTT